CAGAATCCATTCAATGAAGGCTTCTTTAGTGCACCTGCTCTATCATTTCCATCTAGAAAAGATGGACATATGGTTAGTCTCTCTCTCTCTCTCTCTCTATCCCCTATCATGTTAATGATCTTGAGTCTTTATCCAATGTAGGGTTTTTTAGAAATTTATCTGGAATGCAATGAGATTCCAGAATGGTGCAGGAATCAAGTAACAGCTTCATCTATGTGTTTGACTATGCCTACACATAATAACTTCTTAGGAATGGTTCTCTGGGTTGTTATCGACTGTTTGGAAGTTGGCCTTTTTCCAAGCTTCAGGATTAGCATTGCCCATAAAGAGCCTTCAAGTATTCCGTGGAGTAATATTGGAATACTTGATGGGCACAGGGAACTGACATGTGTATATTACATATCTATCTTAAATGAAGCTTTTTATGGCCAGATGATTAAAGGCGGGGAAAGGATAGAAGTGGGGTCAGAAGACGTTACAGTAAAGAAGATAGGGATCCATCTGTTATATTTAGACCAACACGGTAAAGTTATATCTTTGCCTGGAGACGTGGATCATTCTTATTATAAGTACCCAAAAAGAGTTTCAACAAGCTTTATCTCTTCTTTGCCCGGAGACGTGGAGCAAATTTTCTTTATCAACCAAAATTAGGCAAATGTGGAGATTTGTAATTATGGCCAATATTTTGGCTAATGGAGTCATCTCACATAAGCATAAGCATTTTTGCAAAGTGTAAGACTGTTCACAATATCCTTTGGGACCCAAAAATATTGCATTGTGTGGTGGACATCATTTGCAAAAGTTGTATTTCTTCTTTTGCACCTAAGAGGCCAAGACTTTTTTGCCTATAAAAGGGAAGACCATTAGTTCATTTTAGACACATCAACAAGACTTGAGTTTTCATTTCTTGTTTCTTCCTTTCCTTCTTTATTAAGAGTGTTTTGTATGAGAGTTAAGTGTTGGGAAACACTTGTGTGAACCTTTTCTTTAGAATGATCTTGTGAGGTTATTCTCTTAGGGTATTTGGGATTAATTAGAGTGTTTACTCTAATTTTATACTCTCTTTTGTACTCTTATTCGTATAGTAAAATTGCTCTTATCCGCTTGTGGACGTATGTCATACTGACTGAACCACGTTAAATTAGTGTCTTCTTTATATGCTTTAATTGCCGTTGTTATCAACTTCTATTGTCTTTGTTATTGTCATTATATCATTGTTTGGCTAAATAACGCACTACCCAGTTTTCCGATCTTAATAAATTAGTATCATAGCCGGATCTAACCGGGTTAGTTTCAATAGCCAAAATGACTTTAATAAAGACCTATGTTAAGAAATTTGACCGAAGTGCAAACTTTGGAATGTGGCAATTAAAGATGGAAGCTATCCTAATTCAGGATGACTTAAACTTGGCGTTGCAAGGAAATGAGAAGAAGCCAGATAAAATGACGGATGAGGAGTTTGCCATTATAGATAAAAAGGCAAAATCATGTATCTTAAATCTCTCAAATGAGGTTTTACGTGAAGTTAATGGAAACCACAGCCAAAGGCATATGGAAAAAATTGAAAACCTTATATATGAAGAGGACGGTGGAAATAGACTTTACCTGAAGCAGAAGCTTTATACAATTCGTATGAGTGAATGTACCTTTATTCCCTCTCATCTTGACACATTTGATTCCATTATTATGGATTTGAATAATATAGATGCTGAAATTAAAGATGAGGATCAAGTCGTGTTACTGCTTTGTTCTCTACCCCCATCTTTTAAGCATATAAGAGATACTATACTTTATACAAAGGATAATATCTCTTATAAAGATATTAAATATATCTTAAAATCAAAAGAACATATAGATAGTGATATTACTACGGAAGCTAGTGGAACTCAAGCGGGAGTTGGCTTGTTTATTAGGGGCAAATCCGACTCCATATCCAGATACAATAATTTAGAGTGTCGCTATTGTCATAAAAAACGTCACAGTATCTATGAATGCTATAAGTTGAAAAATAAAGAAAAGCATAAGGAAAGGAAAAATGAGCACAAAAATATTGACACCGTCGAAACTAGTATAGCAACTGATAAGATTGATGGAACTATATTTTTAGCAACTGAAACTAGTTTCAGATTAGACAATGAGTGAATTTTAGATTCCGGTTGTTCATATCATATGTGTCCTAGCAGGGACTTGTTTTCTACATATGATTAAGTTGTAGGTGGAGTTGTCCAACTGGGTAACAATGTTACTTGTAACGTTATTGACAAAGGTACAATTCGGATCAGAATGCACGATGGTATGGTGAGAACTTTCACCGATGTTAGATATGTTCCTGAGTTGAAGAAAAATCTCATCTCTTTGGGCACTTTAGAATCCCTTGGGTGCAAATTCACTGGTGAAGGTAGAGTTCTAAAAATATTTCAAGGTGCCCTTGTGATCAAGAAAGCACACTGATCTGGGTCGTTATATACTTTATTGAGCTCCACTATTATAGGCCATACTATAGTTTCGGTATCAGACAACTTGTCTGGTTTTGATGGCATTAAATTTTGACATATGCCCATTGGAGCTTTTGCGGAGAAGGTGGAGCAAATTTACTTTATCAGCCAAAATTAGGCTAAGGTAGAGATTTGTAATTATGATAAATATTTTGACTAATGGAGTCCATCTCACATAAGCATAAACATCTTTGCAAAGTGTAAGACTGTTGACAATATTCTTTGGGACCCAAAAATATTGCATTGTGTGGTGGACATCATTTGCAAAAGTTGTATCTCTTCTTTTATACCTAAGAGGCAAGACTTTTTTGCCTATAAAAGGGAAGACCATTAGTTCATTTTAGACACACCAATAAGACTTGAGTTTTCATTTCTTGTTTCTTCCTTTCCTCATTTATTAAGAGTGTTTTGTATGAGAGTTAAGTGTTGAGAAACACTTGTATGAACTCTTTCTTTGGAATGATCTTGTGAGGTTATTCTCTTAGGGTATTTAAGATTAATTAGAGTATTTACTATAATTTTGTGCTCTCTTTTGTACTCTTATTCGTATAGTGAAATTGCTCCTCTCCGCTTGTGGACGTAGGTCACACTGACCGAACCACGTTAAATTGGTGTCTTCTTTATATGCTTTAATTGCCGTTGTTATCAACTTTTATTGTCTTTGTTATTGTCATTATACGATTGTTTGGCTAAATTTTGCACTACCCGATTTCTCGATCTTAACAGTTTTTAGGGTTTATTTACACATATAGCCGGCCATATTAATTATTTACTTTTTTTATCCATATACATAGATTATACATTGATTATATATAATTATACATATGCAATATATAAATTATGCATATATTATACATTCACCGGCTATTTTTAGTTTAAGTGCTAGGGTGAGCGGCTATTTGGGTTAATTATTCTTTAAAAAAAAAAAAGAGAATTAACTCAAATAGCCGTCCACCCAATCACTTAAACTAAAAATAGCCGTTTGAGGTATAATATATGAATACTTTATGTATTATATGTGTATAATCTATGTATATGGTTAGAAAAAGTAAACAAAAAATATTGCCGGATATTTGTGTAAAGATCCCCTTTTTTGATTAAAATTTTAATTTGGCGTCCATCATCCTAGAAATTAGGTTCCATTTCCTTCAGTAGTATCCGTAAAAACTCCCAAATATATTTTAACTATTTTCTAGTTTTTTATCTATATATCCAAATATATATAACACATTTATAATTATATTATTTGTATATCACAGTGTATAACATAATAATAATATATGTATCAAAAAAATATATTAAAATTTTATTTTCCTTTTTTGTATAACATATTTCAGATTGAAAACTCAAGTTCAAGACGACTCCACATGTGCATCCCATATCGTATCCCGTGTATATCTCTATGTACATCAGTGATATCTCATGTATATTATGCGTATCTGTGTATATCCATGAAAAATTGTATTATATATACGATATACAATGTGATATACACGAGCGTCCATAAAATAATTGTGTTGTTTACACGATATACAAAGTAAAATACACAAACGTCCTTAAAAACCCGTATGTGATATATACTGTTGTACACGATATACAACGTGATATACATATATCACAGTTGGATTTTTAGGTCTGAATTGTTACCTGAAACCAATCTAAATCACTTATAATCTTGCTCAAATTTTGTATATAGCCTCGTTTAAGTATTTTCAGCCAATTTCAATCACACCCTCTTGTTCAATCCAACCAAAAAAAAAAGGGAGAAGAAAAACAAAGTTGAAATACATTTTCTCTCTCTTAGTTTTTGCTTCTGATTTTCTCTGATGTGAGATCAACCTTACCTTTTTATCCCACTGATTCTTTTTTGCATAATTTGCAAGAATTTTTGCTAAACTATAAGAGTGAAAGAGAAGAGATAGAAGAAATACAAGGAGAGAAAGGGGAAGGGAAACAGTGAACAAGAAGAGAAGTGAGCGGCGAAGAAGGGGGGGGTGGGGGGAGTAGACGGTTTGGGACCAATTGTTTGAGAGAGAATATATAAGAGAGTAGTTTTTTTAGGATTTGACTATATAATGCTAATTATTTGGGGCTATCTTTTCCAAACCTAATATAAGGCAAAACAATCGCCAATTCCTGTTATGGGTTGTCATAGGATACCAATTTTGCTTTCCATATCGGTGATACCTCCTTTTTTTTAGTAATCTACACAGTATCCCACTGAAAATGCTAGTTAACTCCATATACCTTTGAAATATTTATATTACCTTGTATACCAACTTTATAAAAGTTTATTACTTTTAAACTTTTAATATCATTATATGCCATTAAATAAATCACATCTTTTAAGGAACTAAATTATCTCTCAACCAACTTAATAAATCTCTTAAAATACTCCATCATCCCACATTTTAAGAAATTAGAATTATACATGTTCACCAAAAAGTCCAAACCCTAGCAATTTCTCTATGAAGTCCTCCATAATTGTTTTATCCTCTTTCATCTATGTAATCAAAAGAAAAACAAAATAAGATGAAAATGTTCAAATTAGGGATATAATATCTAAACTAAAATAAAATATTAGAATATGCTATTCAAACCAATACATCACAATATCCTAATGAAAAATACAATATTCAAATCAAACAACTATAATATTCTAATTTGGAATACAATATTCAAATCGAACATAACACAATATTCTAATGTGTAATATTATATTCAAATTAAACATACGATAATATTCTAATTTTGAATATAGTATTCAAATCAAATATACCACACTATTCTAATTTGGAATATAGTATTCAAACCAGATTTTTTAAATTAAAAAATTATAAAATATTTGGTTTCATATTGTATTCCAAATTAAAATATTGTTTGAATATTGCATTCCAAATTAGAATATTATAGTGTGTTCGGTTTGAATACTGTGTTCCAAATTATAATATTATGGTATATTTAGTTTGAATGTTGTATTCCAAATTAGATTATTATAGTATTTGTATAATATATTACAAATTAAAATATTATGGTATATTTACTTTGAATAATATATTCTAAATTAGATTACTGTGATATGCTTGGTTTAGATATTATACTTGTCATTAGAATATTGTGATATATTCGATTTGAATTGTATTCCAAATTAGAATATTGTGGTATGTTCATAATATATGGGAAGATTTGAAAGTATAGAGTATACAATATCACAGGAAGTTCTGATAGAAAATAGGAATATGGTTTAATTAGGAGATATGTGAATCTCAAAATTCACTGAGTACACGTTTCAATAATAAAGGCTACATTTAAGGGATATTATCCCCTTATTAATAGTGGTTGTTACACGCATAAGATTCTCTATCAAGATATGCGATGTAATTCCTTTATGGATATACAATGT